TAAAATTAACATATCTTAAACTTTTATAATATCGTATTATCTTTATAAACATAAAAAGTTTAATAAACGGTAATCTAACTTTGAAACTCAAATAATAATTTAGTATAAATTATATATAAAATAATATGATTTTTCATGCATATATTAATTTTAATAATTAAATATAAAGCCAATTAGATAAATATATAATAAGAAAAAATTGATATTAACGTACAAGCTATAAAACTATTCTGTTTGTAATAGTTATATAAACATTTAAACATATGACTAACGTTATTAATGATATAAAACAAATATATATATGAAAACAAAACCCGCGCGGTTGCGCGGGTACAAATCTAGTAACTATTTAAGTTTGCGTATAAAGTAATCTCATGTCACAATGATATAAACAGTTACGCGAAACAAAAGCGAGCGCATTTGAGTTGGTTTTAATTAATCTAAAATTTCCAAAACCAGCTGGATCTATAAACAAAATGAAAGACATCAAGGAAACAAAAAAAGTTAACAAAAGAACAAAGATTAACTAAAAAGAAAATTCGTCTTTAAATCACCATCACCTTCGTAGCAGGATTTGATATTACGGTCAATTGTTGGGGCTAATTAAAGAGGACTAATCAAAATTGGAAAGTCGCTTACGGCACTCTAATGACATTTTTGCCCTAATTTAACGTACTAATATAGATAGTAACGACAAAATATGATTTGGACAACTCTTGAATACATTTGCATGTTATGTGAGAATACGAAAAAAAATGCATGAAACTAGCTGACAAAAGATCACCTTCGTTTCGCCTATGACTCTGTGAGCTATAACAACTAGAAACGTTTTAGTTACCTCTTTCTATTGGAGGTTTTCTACTTTTCTTACCTCCTTTTTCTTTAATCGTTCGTTTAAAGTATTTCCTTCCTTTCTTCCCTTCTTTTTTACACTCTCTTTTTTCTTATTCTAATCAAAGTATATATATAATTTTACATCTTCAGACTGACGGAATCTTGAAGAATATCCGGAGAAATTCGTGAAACAATTTGGCGTAACTTTATCTATAATGTAGATTAAATGATCAAGATGTTAATGTAACGCTCCGACCGCCCACGGCTAATGGGTCACCCACGTCTGTTCTCTCGGCCCGTGGGCCCCATCCCGTTCCAACGGTCGGTCCGTTAATTTTTCAAGGCTATAGAGTCATGTTTACTGACCCTGCAATCACCACATGACATTTCCCCGTGTTTTGTCTTCACTTACACGGTATCGCAAATCACTTCCCGACAGGTCACCCATCCTTTGACTACTCCAACTCAAGCACGCTTAACTCTGGAGTTCTCTCTGAATGTGCTCCCGAAAAGGTAAATGCACTTTGGTGACATAGATAATCAAATCAATCCTCTAAAGGAAAGTAACATTTAGTTTGACCCATCAAAGTGAAGTCAAGCTCCAAAAATTTAGGGGGGGTTCAAGTAAATAGGGGTGGGCACGGATCGGATATCCGGGTTTTTTAAGATATTTGTGATTTGTTTCGAATGTTACGAATATCTAATTTTGGTATTTGCTTTGCTTCGAAAAAATACGGATATCCGGAAAAACGGATATCCGGGAAATAAATAGATATTTGCGGATATTTGCGAATATTTACGGATATGTCATTAGTTTTGATTAATACAAATAATCTTAAGATTTTGATACAAATTTGCTTTTCAAAAATATTTTTTTTGCATGATATATAAAATAAAAATTAAAAGAAATAGTGAATTTACATATTTTGTAATTTTTTAAAGTTTAAATTACAATTATAATAACACAAAATTTAAGAAAAAAATACTATTGTCATAAAATTTTTCTCTCTTTTATGTAATACTTTTATATAAGTAATAATGTGAATAGAATTGTTCAAAATCATGTGTTAGAATAATAATTATATAATTTTATATATTTAAAATTTTAAATATAATCAAGATATACATATATTTATATATTTCCGGATCGGATCGGATATCCGCTTCCCAAAATTTTAATATTTGTGATTTGCTTCGATTTTAACGGATATTGAATTTTAGTATTTGCTTTGCTTCGAAAGTTTACGGATATCCGGAATTTTCGGATCGAATCGTAACGAATAACGAATCGAATCAAATATAACGAATAAAATGCCCAGCCCTACAAGTAAAGAGGAAATGCTTTTGTGGGATTAGAGCAAAGTAAATCAAAGTTTGATTAAGCGCGAACCAACCCACAATCTCTGCTACCAAAATGCATCAATACGACTGAAGCTCGACCCATGCGTCTACGAGCGTACGTCCACGATTTCTAAGATTATAATTTATACTATAGAAGACTGAACTCTACTCTTGACACTGACTCTAAGTCCACAAACCGATATATTCTTTTTATAACCGAAGCCAGAAGAACCTTTGGTTGTTTTTTTTATAACAAAACCTTTGGTTGTTTGCACCAGAAAAAAACTTCGGTTGTATTTGTTGTATGTACGTATGGCAGACCCGGCTCTTGACCATTAACAGAGGTAGTTGCCCTGGATCCATGGATCCATAATTTTTTTAATATTATTTTATTAATTTAAAGGTCCATTTCAAATTACTAAAAAATGATTAAATATTTGATAAAATTATAATAAAAGCCCATAATTAACTAAAACTAATTGATATATAGCAAGACAAAACAAAAAAAATGTGTACGTTTCACCATTTCTATTTTTCCGATGAAAAAGTTTTACAGGTATAACTTAAAAGAAATGCAACAGAATTTTTTTTTTAAAACAAAAGTTTATGAAATGAGCCATATTCTAAGGCTTTAAAATTTTGTAGGACGGCACTGACGGCATTGTATACATGAACCAACTGATTATCAATTATGTTTCTTCAAGCAGATCTAAGAGAAAGAATGTTAATTATAAAGTCACTTAATTAATTAGGAGATCTACTATTGAAGTCGGTAGATCATGTGTTTCTAAGTCGCATACCGGCAAATATTGTCTCCTGCACATGACAAATTTCTTATAATTGAATACGATTTATTAATTATCATGTTTTCTAATTTTGTACAGCCTCTATCATAAAAGGATAACATGGGAGATGTTTATTTGCAAAGTACAGAAATAAATAAAGTATGCTCTTTGCATGATTATCATTAAATATAATAATACTATCGGATAGAATAACATATCATCAAAACGAGAGAATAACATATCATTTATTCAAAACACGAATAGTTCTTTTCTGATAATTATGCA